GTCAAACATATGGTGATGGAATAAAACTAGGATTTTGGTGGTGAACATGCTATAGTGTATACAGATATTGAATTATAATGTACACCTGACACTTATGTAATGTTATTAATGATGTTATTAACCAGTTACCTCAATTTTTTTAAAACAACAAAATAAAATAAAGAAGACCTGGATAAATGAGGGGGAAATACCGTATTCCAGGATAAGAAGATTCAAGGTTATAAAGATGTCAATTCCCAAGATGTCAAATTGCTCTAGAAAGTAAATGCAACTCCAATCTCAATCATAATATAGAATATTTTATGGAATCTGATAAACTGATTAAAGTTCATCCAGAGGAGAACATATGTTAGAAAAGTTGGGATAACCTCAAAAGCAAAGCAAACACTTGTCCTACCAAATATCAAAACACATAAAGCTAAAGTAGTTCAAAGTGTGGTGATGACCCATTCCTACACACTGAATATCTGTGTCCCCCAAAATTCGTAAGTTGAAACCCATTCCCCAATGGCATATGGAGATGATTAAGCCATAAGGATGAAGACCTCATGAATGGGATTAGTCCCCTTCGAAAAGAAACCCCAGAGAGCTCCCTTGCTTCTGACGGCATATGAGGACACAGCAAGAAGACAGCTGTCTATGAATCAGAAAGGGACTCTCACCAGATACCAAATACGCCAGTACCTTGATCTGGGACTTCCCAGCTTCCAGGACTGTGAGAAATAAATAAGTAACGTTGGTTATAAGCCACCCAGCCTATTGCGCTTTGTTATAGCAGCCCAAACAGACTAAGACACATATTGATAGACAATAGATCATAGCATAAAACAGAGTCCAGAAATAGACTAGAATAGAAAGTAATAGATGGCCTTTCAAATAAAGGGAAAAAAGATGAAGGATTTAATAAATGACAGTGCAACAAGCCATAGATTTAGAAAACTACCATAAAAACATGAAATTATACATCTATCCTCTAAAAACTAATTCCAAATAGATTAAATAGATTAACTAAAACAACAGTATTATAAAACTTTTAAATATCCATTGTTTTTTTAACTTGTCTGAATCTCACACCAGGTTAGTGTTAGCCAGAGTAAGTTTCATTGTTTGTAACCAAAAGAACTTGATACAGAACGCTGAACAGAATTTGGCAAAAAAAACAATACAGAAAAAAATAAAGGTAAGCAACCATGAGAAAATATTTGCAAAATATATAAAGTATAAAATGTCTAATAAACATGAAATAACTCTTCAATCTCATTAGCAATAAACACAAACTAAATATTAAAGTAACATTTTTTTATTCAAGAAAAAATGACAATTTGAGAAAAATTAAGAAGACTCCAATATTAACAAGATATAGGAAAATAACCACTTTATAAACTACTGGCCAAATATATTGTAATTAATGTTATCTTCTAAAAGAC